TCTTTCTTTCTTTCTTTCTTTCTTTCTTTCTTTCTTTCTTTCTTTCTCTTTCTTTCTTTCTTTCTTTCTTTCTTTCTTTCTTTCTTTCTTTCTTTCTCTCTCTCTCTCTCTTTTCTTTCTTTCTTGACAGGGTTTCTCATCATAGCCTTGGCTGACTTGTAACTTGCTCTGTAGACCATGCTGCCCTCCAACTCAGAGAGATCTGCCTGAGTGCTGGGATTAAAGGTGTCACCACCACTGCTTGGCCTGCATTTGGTTTTTTTTTTAAGATAAGGTTTCATGTAACTCAGGCTAGTCCTAAACTGTTGTTATGTAGCCAAGGATAACTTTGAACTTCTGATCTTCCTGCTTCCAAGTCCCAATTGCTGGGATTATAGACCTATCCCGTTTATGTAGTGCACGGGATTGAATCAAGGGCTTCCTATGAAGCTGGCAAACACTTGCCAATTGAGTCACATCTATAGCCTTGAAAGCTGCTTATACTATTTGTTTTATTCATTTTTACTTTATCCATATGGATGATTGGTCTCTCTCTCTCTCTCTCTCTCTCTCTCTCTCTCTATATATATATATATATATATATATATATATATATAATTTTTTTTTTTCTTTTGAGACAGGGATTCTCTGTGTAGCCTTGGCTGTCCTGGAACTCGCTTTGTAGACCAAGCTGGCCTTGAACTCACAGAGATGGACCTGCCTCTGCTTCTGCCTCCCTGAGTGCTGGTATTAAAGGTGTGTGTCCCCACTGGGCACACCTGCATATATTTCAATGTACCATGTGTGTACCTGGTGCCCATGGAGACCAGAAGAGGATGGGATGTTGAAATGAGAATTATAGATGGTTGTGAGCTGCCATGTAGGTGCTGGGAATCTGACCCAGATCCTTACCAATGTTCTTAACTGCTTATCTGTCCAGCCCCTAAAGGAGGCTGGTTGACCACCTGTCAGGCTCTAAGGGAGAGCATGCTACAGGCTGTGACCACAGAGGCAGATACTGTCTCAACTGTCTCTGCAAGTTCAGACACCAGGCCCTCTCTCACAGACCTGAAAGGGTAGGATGGAGCATGGCCAGCTGGGAACTCAAAAACCTAGGCTGTAATGCTAAGAACAAAACAGCCCCTTAACCTGAACTAGAACGTATAGTCATTGTGCCTTACTCATGGGAAGGGGACTGTGGGCAAACCATGGGGATCATGAAGGAGCTATCACTGAGCAGAAAGGGGAAGGCCTACTCTTCAGAGCTCTTGGTGTGAATCTGGGCTCAGGATGATTATGTACTTTATTCTGTGGATATTTTCCAGCACCTTACTCTGAGCATTCTTGCAAATCAGATGCCATCATTATGAGTACCATGAACCTGTAAAGTTTGTCTTCCCTGCTGCATCATTCCTTACTCCCCAAATAATCCCAAGTGGTTACCCTTTTCCAATATCTATCTTATCTATCTGTCTGTCTGTCTATCCGTCTACCTGTTCATCTATCTTATCTATTTTTTTTTAATTTTATGTGTGTGTGTATGTGCATATGAGTGCAGGTGCCCATGAGGCCAGGAGAGATCAGATCCTCCTGAGCTGGGGTAGCAGAAGGGGTGGTCGCGAGCTGCCTGAAGGGGGTTTTGGGGGCCTCTGTAAGAGTCCTCTTATCCACTGAACCATCTCTGCAGCCCTCTACGGTTTATTTATCCTTGGTTATGTTTAAGTGAGGGGGTATATGAATGTGAGTGCAGGTGTCCTCAGAGTCCAAAAGGATCCCCTGGAATTGGAGTTCTAGACAGTTGTGAGTAAGCTACGTGATAGGGGTGATGGGAATGAAATTTGGGGGTGCTCCTAACTACTGAGCCATTTCTCCAGCCCCACTACCCTTTTCGAAATTTCAAGGAGTGAGGCTTCTGGATAAAGTTTATGCATAGGTCCCAAAATCAAGTACTAGGTCCCTAAGTATAAGTTGGGTAGAATTTGTACTGTTTCCAGTAGAAGACTGGTTGAAGAACATGGAGGTCAGCTGAGCAGGAGAAGGGCCTCAGGCCTCTGGGACTGTGCTGCCTTTCTTTCTGGTGACTGGGGGGCAGAGGTGTGTGGGCACTGTGAGAACAGTGCAGAGTCAGGCATAGGAACTGAATTTTTCTGAATATGATTGCTTCTCCTCCCCTGCCCAGGAGAAGAAGAAGCCCTCACAGCTGACACCTCAGCGGGGCTTCAGTGAAAATGATGACGATGATGATGATGACTCATCTGAGACTGATTCTGATGACGACGATGATGATGAGGAGCATGGAGCACCTCTGGAAGGGTAGGAAGGACCCTGTGCCAAAGGGGACACTGGTCAGGTTGGCAGTAGAGGAACTTATCTGGGAGTAGATTGCAGCATCTTTTGATGTCCTCTACTTAGGATTTTCTCCTATCTCAGGAGCCCAGCATTGTGAATTTTAATTTCTTTCTGGCTCCACTGTGTCATCTGTTCCTGTGATGTCCCTGAGACTACCTGAAACATTTGTAGGCTCAGCAAATACACTGGATTAACCTACAGCATTGGCCCTGCCTTCAAGGAGCTTCCAGTTTGGGAAAGAAGTATACTTGTGTATATGCCAAGGCATACATGCACATAAGCATTTCCATTTTAGGCTGAGACTCTTCCTGGACAAGAGAGAGGAGCTTCGGGGGCCTCACACCGAGGCGAGGTTCTTGGGTGATGCTAAGTAAACAATAATATAGCAATAAAGAACCTCATCTTACTCTGTCGCAGCTCCATTGTCCCAGTGAGTCATGATTCACTGCTATTGGTTATCATCAACATGTATTCTGAAGGCCATCCATTTACACTGGGGATGTATGTAGCTCAGTGATTTATGTATTTGCCTAGATATGTGAGGCCCCAAGTTGTATTTCTGTATTTAGGAGCATGTGCGTGTGCATACACACACACACACACACACGCACAAAATCTTTTTTTTAAATGTATAAAATATATGTAGTGACATTGAATATGGTGACACAGACACTCAGGAGGCTGAAACAGGAGTATTGCAAGCCTGTGACCACCATGATCTATACAAGTCTGTATCTCAAAACACCCACGGTTTGGGTCAGGTGGCTCAGAGGGTAAAGGCATCTGGCACCAAGCCTCAAGACCCAGTTCATTCCTTGGGACCCATATGGTGGAAGGAGGGAACCCACTTCCTCAAGTTTCTGACCTTTGTACACACACGTGTTCATTTACACACTGTATCTTCCTCTCCCTCCCATGTGCATGTACTGGCATGTGTGCCTATACACACGTGTGCATGTGTCACAGTTATTCACCTCACATGCACACACACTCATATACACTCAAAGATTTTTAAAAGTTGTCTTGTGGCCTGGAGAGATGGCTCAACAGTTAAGAGCACTGCCTGCTCTTAGAGAGGACCTGGAGTCAATTCACAGCAACCGCACGGCCACTGCCAGTTGTTTGTAACTCCAGTCTCGGGATCTGATGTACTCGTCTGGCCTCCTTGGGCACAAGGTACAAATGTGATATATGGACATACTTGTAAGCAAAACAGCCATACACATTAAAGGGGGGGGCATGGGTTTCCTGCAGCTTTCCCTTTAGTGTCAGAACTGAGAGCTAACTATAATCAATGTCAGAGTTGCTTTGGAAGCCACTGGGAAAGGAGGATGGGGCAGGGGCAGAAGGTAGGTTTGGGGTCACATTCTTGTGGTCTAAATCACACATGGGCTGGCCAGGGCCCACCACCTGTGCTCCTCAGGGCCACTTTGACCCCCATGTCTCCTACCCCAGGGCCTATGATCCTTCAGACTACGAGCATCTGCCAGTCTCAGCTGAGATCAAGGAGCTCTTTGAGTACATCAGCCGGTAAGCAGGAGAGCTGGCCCCTGTGCCCGCCTCGCCTGCCCTCCCAAGCCTTTGCATTCGCTAGTAACACGAAGCTGCTTCAGGGCTTTTTAGCCCAAACTGTCAGGTGACTGTTTCCACCTTCTCTCAACTGTCCCTTGCAGGTACACACCTCAGCTGATCGATTTGGACCACAAATTGAAACCTTTCATTCCTGATTTTATCCCAGCGGTTGGGGATATCGATGCATTTTTAAAGGTACACAGTGCGTCCTAAAAATGGTTCCCCTGGGCTTGGTTCCAGCTCCTCTATTCTGATAGTTCCTTTAGTTTCTCTGATGAGCCCCAGCTGCCTATTATAATAGTCCCCATTGCTTTGGAGTTTTTTGTTTTGAAGATTTATTTATTTGTTATGTATACAGTGTTCTGCCTGCATGTATGCCTGCATGCCAGAAGGGGGCACCAAATTTCATTGTAGATGGTTGTGAGCTATCATGTGGTTGCTGGGAATTGAACTCAGGACCTTTGGAAGAACAGCCAGTGCTCTAAACCTCTGAGTCATCTCTCCAGCTGAGCACTGGAGTTCTTAACCTTGCCATCTCCTGCAGATTCCACTCACTGTGTAATGTGTTTGTCTCCTAATTAACCATGCATTTAGCCCCATCTATGTGCTCCATACATTGTGAGTTCATTCTCAATAGACTTAGTCTTGTATAATAGTCAGGCGTGCTTTTTAATGTTAGACACACTAACGGAAATTCACTTCTGTAAACAATAATTTCCAGGAGCTTAAAGGGAACAGAAGCCATGGCTCTGCTGTGGATCTCCCATTTCCTTAGTGCTCTTTTTCTTTTTTCTTTTTTTTTTTTTTTTTTTTTTTGCTTTTAACCTTTCTCTGAACCAGGTTCCGCGTCCTGATGGAAAGCCTGACCACCTTGGCCTCTTGGTGTTAGATGAACCATCTACAAAGCAGTCAGATCCTACTGTGCTCTCGTTATGGTTAACAGAGAATTCCAAGCAACACAACATCATGGTGAGCAGTCAGTCTAGAATAGGGCCCGTGTCAGATTCTGACCTTCCCTTTGTATTCAGTTGACCACTGCCTATTAAAGGGGGGTGGCTTCAGGCCAGCCTGGATTTTAGTGATGGCTTTATTGACATGCAGTTTACATACCATGAGAATCTCTTTCACACACACACACACACACACACACTTTTTAAACATGTTTTTTAAAATTATTATTTATTTTATTTATTTTACTTGAGTGCTCTCCTGCATATATACCTACATGCCAGAAGGGGGCATCATATCCCTTTTATAGATGGTCATGAGCCACCATGTGCATGATGGGAATTGAACTCAGGACCTCTGGAAGAGCAGCCAGTGCTCCACTGAGCCAGTGCTCCAGCGCCACATCTATCTATCTACCTGTCTATCTGTCTGTCTATCTATCTATCTATCTATCTATCTATCTATCTATCTATCTATCTATCT